AACACAGAAAACGTTCAGGTGTTCCTTACTTCCCAGGTGAGCGACTTTAGCTCGGGCAAATTAGCGTTATCATTCCGATTTGATCCCTTTATCAACTTACAAGACCAGCAGGGTAGCAGCGATTACCGCACCGCAAAAAAAGTAGCCCTTCAACTACCACCACCCTATCAAAGTAAACATTTTCGATATGAATCGATTCAACCATTTGAGGACTCCGTGCATGTAATTCTTGTGGGAAGGCTCGACACAAAGTTAGGCGGATGTAAGTTTTGGGAATTTTCAAATTCGATTAGGAAGCCTGGGACATTCGAAGAATTTGGGTACTTGAAACAGGCTCCTTCAGTTCTTTTAGTGTCTCAAAAGTTGCAATTGAGAGAGGGGCGTCAGCAAACTGATGAGGAAGGGGACAATCAATGCTTTACCTTTAGACTACGTCGATGTCTGATCAGCTAATTGAGCGAGAGAGAGAGAGCGATCTGATCTTTTCCCGATCTTTAGGGTGACGTCTTAGCCATCACCTGATCACACTCCATGAGGAGATCCATGAACACCAATGACGGCCTGTGAACAATTGCATTTATTACCGAACATTCCAAATATTGAGCGATTTTACCCACTTTTTGTTTTGCGAGCGATTATGACGAACTCCCCCGAGATCGGAAATATCCCTGTACCCTTCGGTCCCTACTGCTGAATTATTACAGGAAAATCTCTAAAACAGATGTTTAGAGCACTTAATAGATTCGTTATTCTTCTTGATATAGGCCGATACTCCGTGATACTGAACAGTAACCGGTTCCCCTCTCTTGCTTCTCACTGTGCAACAGGTTTAGCTGAAACTAATCCATAGTTCCCATGGAGCAATCCTTGCCTACGAAACCGCCCAGCATGGTGCCTGCGGCCATCGGGTCCGATCGTGGGCAGTGTTGACATCCAGAATCCCGGCAGACTGAGATGACAGTTTAGTACTGCTCAGGATCTACTAATAGTCGTTAAAGAAGTCCTTTTAATTGCAGTGATATTATAGTAAATATGGGGGTCTACGGTAGATGTGTCAGGGCGGGATTACTGTAGGAATTTGTAACCGTTCTGAACTCCTCTGGTTTTTGTTCAGGCTTATGTTTGTCCTCTTTTCGAAGGTTGATCGATCCTGGCATAATCCAAAACTTTACGTCAGCGATTCCGGCGACTATTCTGCTTTCAAGTTGCAAACGACTTTTTTTTAATAACCACTGATGACGTGAGTTCAGAAGCGCACGAGCACTTAGCCAATTCAGGCGTACTTTCACGCCGTCACGTGTCCGATGACCTTTTCTAAAACGTGAATATTTCATCCAAAAAAAATCACGAAGTTCCGATTGTGGACATTACTATCGTTACCAATACCTAATGGGGATAGTTATTTACGAAATATGTCCCTGATCCCTAAGTAAGTAAGAAGATTACGGTTGTAGCAGTAAGTTGGACGACGACGACGTTCGACACATCCGCTGACGATGTCACGTGTAGCGTGGCGTTCCGACCAGCAGCGGAAAATTGATTGCTATGCTTTTGTCAATAGATTTTCCGTAAGCTACGTCGTCCGTGCACATGGGGGAAAACATTCCACAGCTAAGTTTATGACGCCATTAGCAACAACAGCTTTCAACTACTTACTTCTCATTTTTCACAGATGTTTCTAAAAATACTTGTAATAGCTGTTCCACAAGTTCTTGTTCGTGATTTCAATGACTCATGCCTTCCGTTCCTACTCCTGCTGCAAGAGATAGTCACGTTTAGAACCACCCAGAGGTCCCCATACTAGTTTGGGGTACCAGGTTTTGACTCCTGGAGCCATCTGGAGTCCTTAGTAAGCCCTGATCGCAGTTTCAGCAAAGCGTCGATTAAATATGGCCTATACGAGTTTGTGATCCCAGTTTTTCTTGTAAACGACTTGAATATTCCTCTAATCGTCAGAAATGCAAAATGTTTCAGTAGCCAGTTCGAATATTTCATGGAAACATTACAACGTCTGATTCACCAGACGGGTGATCATAGTGCGACCAGAATTTTTCGTTTTTAATGAAAAATTGTTACACGTGTTTCTTCAGCCTC